TACTTTGAAAAGAAAGATAATGTTTCTAATGTAAAAAGGTTCTGCCTCACTGTTTTTCACCTCTTCCCAAACTGCAAGTAGGATGGATACTGGGCAGATAGTGACTGTGACAGGAAGTTAGGCTACATCTGCAGAAGCGACCCACTAGAAGGAGTTTCTGGAACAGCAAAGACTGATCCTGCCTGCCTGAAGGTAAGAAGAAAGCATAACCAAGAATCTGGTTAGCAAAATTTCACAAGCTCCTGTTGACATTGAAATGATTTTTTTTTTTTTTCTTCCCTAACAAGTGTTATTCCAGAACAAATTCAGGGTGATAATTTTCACTACATTCCCATATAAGGAATAATAATAAGTCAGACCTATTACCTTTCAGAACTTTCTCTGAAAGGGGCTAAAGCAAATTCTGTAGTTTTCTGCATATTTTTTATGTTGTTCTGCAACCATCTGTGGTTATTGAACATGTAATAGGGACTGATAACAATTCTGGATTATGCAGCATGATACAAGATGATGACAAATCTCACTACTGAAGCCAAATCAAAACAATAAATCCTTTTTATAAGTGAATTTGTTCTGAGCAAGTTATTGTATCCTACCATTTCCCCCCTTCTTTTCCCTCTTTATACTTGCCTGTTTACTCCTATTCTATATTTAGTAATCTTTCCCACAAGCCGATATGGGGAACAGAGCTGAAACTCATAGTGCTCAATGGAGTTAAACAGCAGCCAAACACTGAACACAGAGTTTATTTACCTTTCTTGAGTGCACCAAGCAAGTCTTGAGATGGCATAAAAGGGAAAAGTGACTTGGAATTCAGCTGTAATTTTGAGGATTTTGCTCTTCAGTGGTTTCTATGTTACCTCTTCAGACAGACTTTTAGGTGACCTGATGTATTAAATCAATTAGTTTATTTACTTTAGCCTTGAAAACATAAGAAACTCGAGTCAGCATCTCTATTATAATAGACCACTCCTTTTTTGTTCCGAGCAAAGTATAATTTTATTCATTTCTGTGTCCCTCTGACGTTTTTACCAGTAAAAAATTTATCTATTATTGTCAAAAAAGTGAGACTCATGGCCATTAAATCTCTTCTTCCTGCCCTGAATGTTTTCTAAGCTGAATTTCCATTGGTACACTGGAATTCAAATTTATACATAATAATGATAAGTTATACTAAGAATATGTTGGCAATGTGTATTCATAGAAATTCAAGTACTAGAACATATGTTGTTTTTAACTGGAAGTTTATTTCATGTGTTCTTGGCAGGGTTGGGAAAGACATGGTTTTTACTGCTACCTGATTGGACATACCTCTGTAACATTTTCAGAAGCAAAGAAAACCTGTGAAAGGAGCAATGGTTATCTAACAAGTATAGGAGACAGGTATGAAAGGAGTTTAAAACTTGTATATCTGATGCAATAATACTGGAATTTGAAAAAATAGTTGAGAATTAAAAAAAAAACCAAACCAAAAAACCTCAGAATATCCTTTTTCTAAATAAAAAAATAAACATAGTATGGCTTTTCTTACTAAAAATAATTTACACATTAATGTTTTCTAGTACTTTACTTTGAAAGAACAGACAACAGCAATTTTGGCTATGTAAGGAATAGTTTTTCAGTACAGCACAATTTCACCCCCTATTGCAGCTAGGACCCAGTTAAACAACATATTCCTCATAAGAGGAAATTTAATGGAAAATCTATTCATTCTAGCTGTGTGAAGTTTGGATGCTGAGGAGTGGAAGATGGAAGGAAAGCTAGCCTTAATCCTATCTGACTCCTGTCATTTCAGATATGAGCAAGCCTACCTGACCAGCCTCATTGGTCTGAGCTCTGAGAAGTATTTTTGGATTGGTCTCTCAGACATGGAAGAGAAAGGAATTTTCAAGTGGGTGACTGGTGAAGGTGTTCTGTACACAAACTGGAATGCAGCAATGCCTGGTACTCTACTGATGCCAAATGATTTTACCTTTTTATATATTCTCTGTATTCTTTACATATATATTTGGTAGCTTATTATGGTGTTAGAAGCTAGTTCCAGTGCTTTTCCTTGTCTTTTCCCTAACCAGAAGAACAAAACATATTCCAGAGCTCCAAGCCCCAGGGGATACAAGATCCCTCTCCTATCTTGCTTTTTTTCTGGGAACCAAGGCGAAAAAATAGCTCTTCAAGATATATTTTCATAAACAGCAGTGTGCCCTGGTGGCCAAGAAGGCCAAGGGCATCCTTGCCTGCATTAGGAATTGTGTGACCAGCAGGATCAGGGAGGTCATTCTCCCCCTGTACTTGGCACTGGTGATGCCACACCTTGAGTGCTGTGTCCAGTTCTGGCCCCCCAGTTTGGGAAGGATGTTGAGATGCTTGAGCATGTCCAGAGGAGGCAACGAGGCTGGTGAGGGGCTTGGAACACAAACCTGTGAGGAATGGCTGAGGGAGCTGGGGCTGTTTAGCCTGGAGAAAAGGAGTCTCAGAGGTGCCCTTATCACTCTCTACAACTGCCTGAAGGGTGGTTGTGGTCAGGTGGGGGCTGATCTCTTTCTCCAGGCTCTTTCTCCAGCAACTGACAGAACCAGAGGACACAGGCTTAAGCTGTGCCAAGGGAAATATAGGTTGGATATTAGGAAGAAGTTTTTCACAGAAAGAGTCATAAAGTACTGGAATGGTCTGCCCAGAGAGGTGGTGGAGTCATCATCCCTGGATGTGTTTAAAAAAAGATTGGATGTGGCACTTGGTGCCATGGTTTATTTCAGGTGTTAGGGCATGGGTTGGACTCAATGATATTAAAGGTCTCTTCCAACCTATTGATTCTGTGATTTAGAGAGGGTTGAACTGAGGCAAATTACCTCACCTCTTATGTCTCTTATTGGTGATTATTGTCAATTATGCTAATTTGCTAAACTTGTAAAACTCTATTCACCCTGTGGTAGGGTAGGAATTTTGTGGACATTTTTCATATCTGCCCCTGGAGGCCTCCAATAAAGACCAGCCTTTATATTACCTCCTATACTAATATTATCTCAAAAGTATGTTGTTTCATTTCTAGGTTCTTTAAGGCATCACTACCACAGGACTAAATCTATGTTACTATGGAACTCTCTGTGTTCCCTAATTCTAAACTGTTTTCTAACATTGATAAATCCATGATGACACATATGAACATTCTGTCTTTGAATGTCTGTACTTGGCACAAGTGAGGCTGCAAATCAAATCCTAGGTTCAGTTTTGGGTCCCTCACTACAAGAAAAATATGGAGATACTGCAGTGTGTTCAGAGAAGGTCAACGAAGCTGGTGCAGGGTCTGGAACATGAGTCTAATGAGGAGTGGCTGAGGGAGCTGGGGTTTCTTAGCCTGAAGGAAAAGAGAGTCAGTGGAAACTTTATCACTTTCTACTACTGCCTGAAAGGATGTTGTAATGTGGTGGAGATCAGGCTCTTTTCCCAAGTAACAAGTAATAGGGGAAGAAGAAATGACCTCAAGGTGCATTAGGAGAGCTTTAGATTGGATGCCAAGAGATGTCTCTTCACAGAGGGAGTGCTCAGGCCTTGAAATGGACTGCCCAGGGAAGTGGTTGAGTCACCATCCCTGGAGGTATTTCCAAGATGTGAAGATGTATAGATGTGACATTGATGGTTTAGTGGTAGGCCTGGCAGTGCTGTGTTAATGGTTGCCCTCTACAACCTTATGGATCTTTTCCAACCTAAATCATGCTATGATTTTCTATGATGCCATGAAAATATTTATTTTCTGACTCCTCAGTTTTTCCAAGAGGAAAATCAAACTGAGCAGAAAGGATAAAATCCCTTCCAGCCTCGGCAATGAGCTGCCAAAGCCTTGCCATTAAGAAGAAAGAGGCAGGCAAGGAGTTGTTCATGCACTCAAAGGGAAGGGACATGTGATGATGAAGGACTTGCTGGTTTCCTCTTTTCACAAAGATCCTCCTCTGAGTGGACACTACACTTAATATTTCAAATAGTCTTTTGTATATTAATTACATGAGCCATAAAATGTTGAAAGAGCCTCTTTAAAAAACACTTCAACCTGCTTTTTTATCTCATAAAGGGAAGGAAGCTGGTTGTGTTGCCCTTCGGACTGGAAATGCAGCTGGACTATGGGATGTTCAGAACTGTGAAGTAAAGGCAAAATTTCTCTGCAAAAAATTAGCTGAAAAAGTCACTGTTCCTGCTGCTTCTGAAACAGTTTCTGATTCCAAATGTCCTTTGGGTTGGGACACAAGCAATAGCACTAATTCATGCTTCAGAGTAAGTATTGTTTCTTGCCATAATCCTACCTGGGAAACAGGAGCGCACCAAACAGACAAGCAGTCTAAACATCACAGAATGGCACAATGTAGCAAGCTGTTACACAACTATTCGAATATCACTGCAGTTTTCACTCTATCAGTGATAAGTAAGGTTATCCAATTACTTTTGAATCCATATTATAATGGATAATTGTTATGGAAGGTTCACTTATTTTTCTTATGCAAGGTGGCCAGCAGATTTATGTTTAGCATACTGAAAACAAAGTGTTCTACCTGCATCTACAGGGTTTTGTGAGAGAAGACCAAAAGAAAACATGGTTTGAAGCCCGAGATTTCTGCAGAGAAATAGGAGGAGACCTGGCTGCCATTAGAAATGAAGAAGAGCAAACAGTGATAAAGAACTTAATAAAGTAAGCAAGCAAACTGTCTAATAATTGATATTTTGATGTAACAATACATAATACAGTAATAAATAATGCTACTGTTATTTTTCTTCTGAGATAATTATTTTTAAATCTATCTGGTTTTCACCATAACAATAAGAAAAATAACTGAGAAAATGTCTCATATAAGCAATGTTTTCAAATAATTTTTGGAGCTCCTAAAATGTGTCATAACCTGCAAACATTTTCAATTCAGATAAAAAAACAACCCAACAACAGAATTTGTTAAACATTTCTCCACAGACCCTATTCTAAGTTTGTTTAGCGAATAATTTTGAAACCAGATTTTGTCTTCCAACAGCCTGAACATTTTATTTCTGAGAAAAAACCACTATAATCACAACATCAATGTAGAAAACCAACATGCTGTGTTTTCAATACAACTATTTGCAAAGCAGGAGGTTTTAAAGTGCGAACTTCATGTACTTGCCAATGGGAGTTTGCTGACCAACAGTACTTTTTATTTTTTAAATTTCTGCATTGAAGTTTTCAATAAGTGTCACATTTATTGTCCCACATAATTTTTAAAATTGAGCAGGGCTAACCAAATACGTCCTCTTCCACTGTACATTTTTTTTCACACTTTAGAAAGAAATCCCCATCATTTCAGCCTTTCTGGATAGGTTTGCAGTGTTTGGATCCTGACGGTGGACTTTCCTGGAGTGATGGCTCTCCGGTGAGTATTTCACCATCCCAGTTTCCTTCTGTTCTGACATTTTTCTGTTGGAGAAATTTCCATGACTGGTGTGTATAAAAGGTGTATAAGAATTTCCAAAAATGTCTATTTTGCAAATGGGTAACTCTGAATCATTACTCTTCACACTGGATTGGATAAAAACAAAAGAGGCCATTAAACCCTGAGGTTATACCATCACAAAAGTCATAACACAAAGGACTACTTTCAGATATAGATATTATTATCCAAGTCACACATACATTAGAAAGGTCTCTCCTGATTTTTGTTAGTTTCTGGTGATAAATTGCCGTGTTCCTTTTCCCTGTTTTTTATTTATAATGTAATTTTATTCCAGTTTTTGTGGGACTTCTACACTCTGTTAGATGCTGCATAAACTCAAAGCCTTTCTTTCCTATTGCAAGGTGTTTGTAATTACTTTAGTAGCTCACATTGGCTTCACAGCCAGAGGAGGAGGAAGAGGAGTGGTTGGAAACTTTTGCTCTACTTCTCATTCCTTACAGAGTACAGTTTTTTCCCCTGTAGATTAAAATAAAAAGCACAGTTGTGTTTTCTCTGTAGGTGAATTATAAAGCAAGAGATTATTTTTATGATACTGCATTTCAAGATTGTGGAGCAATCAGTGAAAACCCTTCCTTGACATGGATTAAGGAGCACTGTGAATACAGTCATAACTGGATTTGTGAAATAAAGAAAGGTAGGTTACTTTTTACTCTAGACTTACCTTAGGAAGAAATTTGAGCTGAATCCATTCTATTGTAACAGGAAGTTCTACAAGTTACATACTGGTAGAAAGTTTTGTTGATTTCACAGGAATTTTGCACACAAAAAAGTAGGCCAAGACATAAATACCTTTGGAATACAAGATTTAAGCTGTTAACAATAAAAATTTTTGTTTCATTAGAAAAAGTACATTCCATGATAAGCTTTACTAAAATTACACTTTTTATGTAATTGTGTAATAATATGATGAAAAGAAAAAATTATGAAAGAAAATATAATATATATATATTTATTTTTTTTTTAAATCGAAAATATGATTAAAGCAATCTTAAGAGCTTGCCTTGCAATATTCACTGTTCTGCACAAATGCAGATTTTTGCCAAAACAGAAATTCTGACTGAGGAAGGAAGAGAAGACTACAATTCAAAGAAAAAAAAAAGATAAAAAAGATAAAAAGAAAACTATTATTTTGAATTTCCATATCCTTTGTGAAGTTAAACTTCATTCCTCTGCTCAGATGTTGGTACACAACAGCAGTGTAGTCACTTACTCAAAATTAAACAACACTACCAGCATCATAGAATCAGTCTTGTAAGATGACATATAAAGACAAGCCTGTAACAACAGGCCTGCTGTAACAAAAAGATGGTAATGAAAGCTTTGAAATACTTAAATACAGTTTCCCATCTTCATCACATACTAGTAGAAAAATCTCTACTTCTCTTTTTTCTCAGCTACTGTTGGGCAAAATATTCAGTGATATTAGAGAGGAATAACTATGTGTTGGGCTACATATTTTACTTCCCACAGTAACAGCAATGTTCCTTTTGTGGCTCCCTGGGCTTCTTCACCCTAGCTTCAATTACTGCTTTTCTAAAAAACATAATTTCTGTGCTGCTGAATTATTCAAAACAATTTTCTAACCAAGGCACATAGTCTCAGCTTCTCATAAAGTAATAATCATAGACCTCTATCTCAGAGAGATGTTGTGAAGATATTTTCCTGTTAAGCTCCTTTGTGAGTTCTCACCTGTATAATCACCACAGCTAAAAATCGTCAGCAATGTGTCAATAGTAGCTGTTTACTGTTAATGAGTAGTAGCATATGAATGGCAGAAATTACAGCCTGAAGAAATTGCCATCATTAGTCAGCAGTGCATAATGCATGCTGAAATAGACAGAATACTTCATACTTCCAGAGCTGATATATTAGGGTTTTTTTCTTTTAAATCTTGTAGCCATTTTCTTGTTTAGCTCATAACCAACCATACAATAGATTATTTTTAAAAGCTGACATTTTTTTTTAACCCAAGCATATGTTCACACACTTAATAAAATGTAATTATACATACAGCAACACAAACATTGCAATAAATTCCTGTGGGAAAAAAACAGAATCGCAGAATGGCTTGAGTTGGAAAGGACCTTAAAGGTCATCTAGCTCCAACCCCCAACCTTTGACCACATTGCTCAGAGCCCCATTCAGATGGCCTGGAGATTATAAAGGTGACATTTGTTCTACATATTGATAGCTCTTGGCCTTACAAGTTTAGAGAAACATTTCTCCAATATCACACTCCATGTGATGTGGAAATGTTTTGTTTAAATTATTTTTCAAAAAGTGGTTATATAATTCTTGTCAAAGCAGCCACACAGAAAAAGTTTAACTAACAAATAAATGGTAATAAAATGTTAAATATAAATCATAAATATAAATTATAAATTTAAATATATGTAAAAGAGCAAAACTTTATTTAGTATTTGAATTTCTTGCTCAAATACAACACAATGTCCATAAAGAATTGTTCAAAGTCTACCACGTAGGAGTATTTTCTCTATTTAGTGTTCTTTCAGAAACACATATTCCTTCAGACTAACTTCAGCCATCCAATTTAGGTAATATTCAAGATGTTCAAGATGCGCTTATCAAAAACCTGCCAAGACAGAGATGTAGGTCTGTAATGCATCTTTTATTCCCCAAGCATCCATTTTTAACTTTGCACCAAAGAGACTATATAAATATATTCTGCACTGAATATGTAAAATGTGAAAAGTTAATAGACATTAAAACAATTTCCATTAACTGAACACTTATACTGTCTCAACGTTTGGAAATATTTTACATCATCTTTTTTTATCCCATTTCATTACAGGGACACCCTTGAAACCAGAACCTCTGGGCCCTTCTACCAGTAAGCTTCTGTTTATTTTCACTTACCTAAAGGGTGGTGTGATGTAACACCACCCGCTTTGTGTAAGAACTGAGACGAATGTAGAGATTTCTCCTGTGTTGCAGCATATGAAGTCACAGAAGATGGCTGGATTGTAAAAGGAGACAAACAATATTTTTTCAGCCCAGAAAAGGCCTCTATGGAGAAAGCCAGAACATTCTGCAAAAACAATCATGGAAATCTTGCTACTATTGGAAATAATAGTGAAAGAAAATTTTTGTGGAAATACGTAAGGGGAGATTTTGTTATGTTATACACTACATGGCTCATATACCCTTTGTACATATCCTCTGCTTGTGAAGCACAGAAGAATGTGCTTGTTGCATAATATTACAACTTTTACAAAATATTACTACTACCAAAATTTTATTAGGATTAGGTCTATGAAAAAATACTACTAAATGAATATTCACTTTAGGAAAAAAACATGTAAAAGAATTTGCTGTTTACTAGGATGGGTGTACTCTTGTCTATTCTAGTCTGAATGGAGTTCTGAGGAAATACATAAGGAGCAATGAGTAGGCAGAGTAGGTGTATTCTCAGAGCTGTCTGACAGGGGGGCTGCCTCTACTCTGAATTTCATATACTACAAGACAGTGTTGCACATAGATGTGAGGTAACTGCCAGTGTAGCTTTGATGGTCCTACCTGATGGTCATGTTGCTCTCCAAAACAGCTTTTCAAAGAAAGGCTTAGACTGGTCAGGTTAGACTGATCACTGCAACAATCCTTCATGGATTAGTTTTCCTGTACCATGGCCAAAGCACAAGAGGGGAATGCTGACTGACAACTCAATAGCATGGATGGTACCTCAAACCTCAGCCATAATCCTGCTTGGTTTGCCTGCTAATACCAATATAGCCATACAATCACCTTTCTGAGCCACACTATTAGGTGTTTGCTTTTATTGTGTGGGAAAAGATACAACTGCCGGAGAGCTCAGACAGCTTGAGACACAATAATTCCATAGCTGCTTATAACCAGGAAAGTATAAAAAAATTTGTACTTAATGTTTTTCTCACGTCTTCTATGCCTTTTTCTTTTTAAATTGAGAACAGAACTTTAAAAGCTTTGATCATACCAGTAATTCAGCCAAAAATGAGAATGTATCAACAACAATAATAATAAAGTAGAACTATAGGTTGTATGGTATCTCAGGTGACTGTGCACAATCATTTAAAGAATATGTATTCATTTCTTTGCTTCCATAGCATAATATTTGCACCTTTTTAAAATTAGATTACTAATAAATATTATAAAACACTAATTTAAATATATTTTTATGTTTAGATCTTAAAAAATGGCAAACTGAACTCATATCTCATAGGATTAATCCAGAGTGCTGATCAACAGTTCAGGTAGGTAAATAAGCGACATCAAGATCCATAAAGAGCAGTTGTAGGAGTATTGTACTGCAGGAGTTCCTTCTGGAGGAACCACTGCAAAGGAGTTAAATGCAGATTCAGAGAGTGATAATGCTTGTTGAAATATGTGTTCTCCCTTGGTTAAACTACACTGTACAAACACAGTTCTAAATGGAATTTTTGTATGCTATGAATATGTCGATAATATCTGTGAAAAATAAAGGTATTTTTGTCTTTGACTTGATATGAAGGGATTTTATTATATAAGGTCTTTTAATCCTAATTGAAACTCAATTTAAAGAGATACTCAGCTGTAATTTTTCAAAAATATTTTTAGTATGTTAAGGAAGATTTTTCTCAACTGTTTCATGGATATTGTCTCAGCAACCACTACTGTTTTTCAGCTGGATGAGTGGAAGCCCAGTGCACTATGCAGCTTGGGCACAGGGTGAGCCCAACTTTGCAATAGCTCAAGAAAATTGTGTGGTTTTAAATAAAAAAGATGGTGAGTTACACAACTATGGCTTTTAAAGTAATTTTATGGCTGCTGCTCTTCCAATGTTTGTTTAAAATCTCTTGTCAATTTTCACCCATTCTTTACCAGAAATCTTGAGAAATATGCATTATAAAAAATAGTTATATGTCTGAGGTTTCTTCGGGGGCAATATTATCCATAAAATTAGAATGGAAGAAATTTATTTTAATGGGAAATGCAATGTAAATTTCATCACTGATGTTTCAGCTGCACAAAGAAAATGTTCAATTCAAATCAAAAGCAATTATTTTTTATAATCATTATAATTAGATGATAGTGAATTGAAAATATTTCCTAATAATAGAAAGTATTTTAACTTATAATAATAGTTTTATTATTTATTTTTTAATAATGAGATAGAATTTTTAGTAATAAAAGAATAGTTAGCAAAAGAATAGAACATACATTTTCACATTCCGTAGTGCTTTCACTAATTAAGAATTACTTGACACTTGCATCTTTCAGTGCAACAAAGCTGTTTGGGAAGGTTTCACTGAGAGGCCATCTCATCTAGCCACTTCTCCCCCAGTCACAGCAGGACAAAAGTGCCCCTGCATACAGGGACGATGCGAGGTAGAGTTGAGCTAATGCAGGTTATCCCATGTTCCCAGGCAGATTGCTTCTGAACTTCAGAAACCAGTTCACTTTCTCACAAATTTCAATCTTATTCGGTGTCTCAGTACCTAAAATTTAATTTATTTCAGGCTTGTGGAATGATGTCAACTGTGGTTTTTCCAATGGCTATATCTGTGAGAGGCACAGAAGTTTTATAAATGCAACCCTTCCTTCAGTAGTACCTTCAGCTCCGGGAGGATGTCCTGCAGATTGGATTTTATTTAAAAATCAGGTATGATACTTTCATCTAAGCACAATGATATTACTGCTTCAAAAATCAGTCATTTGAGAAGGAACAAATCAGAAATAAGGCAAAGTTTCCCGAACAGGCTTCAATGCAATACTTGCCTCTTCCCAAAAGGGACAAACTTGATGTGCTTAATAAGCAAGGATTCTCTTTTCTAATATACACAACATTGTTATGAAGGCACCGACAGATATCACACCAGGTGAGTTGATGTCAGGTTACAGTAATCATTTTCCACAAACCTTGCAACATAATTCTCCAACTGTGCTACTGGCAGGACACAGAGCAGATGGTGAGCTGCCATAATGGAGAGGGCACATGAGGCACACTGGTAATTATCAGAACCTTTGAGGCTGAATATATATTGGTAATGTGATAGCTACACAATTTTTAAGAAATTAGTCATATTCTTCCATTAATAAGAGAGCTGTATAATGAAGAAGGCTGAATAGACACGAGTACTTTGACCACAGACAATAGGTCAAAAAGGGTTTTCAGGAAGTGTCGTGGTTTGACACGGGAAGAGAATTTTTTTTTTGGAAGGAAGAGGTCTATCCAGTCAGGGGTCAGGTTTGGATACTGACACTTGGAGTGACCAATTGAAGGTGGACACGCCTCTGAGAACACAGAGGGGTTAAAAGCGGAATTCCCAGGAGAACTCGTTCTTCTCTGGTTCTGGTCATCGGTCATCACAAGGTACGGACCTCCCCCCCCAGCCCAGGCTGGGTGGGGGACGGAGCCATGCGGCCTGCAGAGGTAGGCCAGGGGGTGAAAGATCGGAACAGAGCTGGGCCAGCTCTGTTAGATTAAAGGGTGGAGAACATCTGAGATGTCTTTGTTTCAACCCCAAAGCTAGAGGGAAAAGAGATAGAGAGCCTGCAGACACCCGGGAGTTTGCCGGCAGAGGAGAAGGAGAAGGGGGGGGGAAAGATGCCCAGCGTGGGAGCTGGGAGATGGAGTCCTGGGCCGAGATTTCAGCCGTCCGGGAGTCCGGGAATTTTAACCCTTTCCTGTGAAATGAAGGCTTTATGAAATATTACTCCTCCTCAATTTGAAGGAAGAGAGACAGCCTGGGACCTCAGATGTTCAGAGAAGAAGGTTGGGGGCAGATGATAGAGTGGCTTTTGGCTGGACTCTGCTTGTTTACCATAGACTGAACCACTCCTTCTCTCAAGAGGGACTGCATTTTAGGGGGATGCACTGGTGAGCCAAGAGACCTTCTTCAGCAGCTACCAGTTTTGGAGTGGACAGAGAGAGAGCTGAGGAGGGTGTGAGGATGCCCTCCATCTTCAGAGAAGAAGAGAAGGCAATCTCTGTCCTTGGACCCTCGGCCCCAGGGGAAAATGGGGGGGACTCTAGTCCCGAAATGAGACACTGAACTGTAGTTCCTGTCGGTCCTTGGCAAAGCATCCTTAAAGGGGCCCTATAAGCAGTCTCTGTCCATGCCCGGTGGTGAGAGCACTGTGACATGGAGAGGAGAATGTCACACTGGCCGGTGTGTCTGGGCAGTGCCACGTGTGACATGGAAACACAAGAGGTGGCAGCTGTGTTTCCTGGGGGTCTGTGGTGCAAGGGGGAACTCCTCTCTTCCCCGATGGACTCAGTATTGATTATATTGAAGGGTGAAAACTTGATTAAGGATCCAAATGGGTCTCACAGTGGTTTGGTGGAGTTGGGTGGTGGGAGGAGGAATGTTTTGGAAGGTGTTCATTTTGAATTTTGTGTGGTTTTTTTTCTTTCCTTTCTTTTCCTTTTATAGTAGTAGTAGTATTAGTGTAATAAAGTTTTTCCTTTGTTATTAAGTTTGGCCTGCCTTACTCTTTTTTTGATCGCATTTCACAGCATTCGATTGATAGGTTGTATTTTCATGGGGTGCTGGCATTGTGCCAGAGTCAAACCATGACAGGAAGTTCCAGCAATTCCACACCTGGGCTGGGTTTTTCTTACAGAGTTAGCACTTTGTCTTTTACTTGTGGTAGTGTAAGGCTTCTCAAAATCTCTGAGTTAGTTAAAACATTAGATTCTCATCAGACTCCTACCATGGTTTGTAGCTATTTGAGTTTTGTTGTAACTTGCTCAATCCCTTGCAGAAAGACAGAGAGCAAATTTAGAACTTGTAAATGGTTTTGACTTGGCTCCAGATCCAAATTAACTGAAAAAATATTTTGGGGGTCTGAATTAGGCTGATTTTTACTTAAACAAGTGTAATTCATACCTAAATTCTTTGTCCTGTCACTCTAACAGTCTATACTTTCCCTAGTGTTATAAATTTTTTGGCTCTGGCTATGATTACTGGAGTACTGGAAGAAGAGTTTGCATGAGCCTTGGAGGA